AACAAAAACAAACAAAAAAACTTTGAGGCGTCGAAGCAGCCATCCTTATGCAACAGAACGACACTTCAATACGCTTGTGTTCTGTTGCTTCCAACTGGAATTGCTTCATGCAGTAAACGCTGCCGCACAGCCAAGCGTTTCCCTCCGGGCTGGAGGAACTACTCGTTTCCCCAGCCCGTTTTTTTTTTTTTTTCATCTCATCCCTACCTAGCAGACTGCAACGTCAACACACACTCACTCAACCCTTTCACTCGTGTTTTTTTTTTTTTTTTTGCTATTAGCACATTTTTAGAACCGAGCGACGTGTTGGCTTTTCATCACCTGTTTTCCTCCTCATGCAGCACGCCGCTCCCACAACAGCTCCCTTCCATCTGTTCTCCGTGAGCAGGAGGGAATCCCAACTCTCGCCTCTCTGCAGTGGATGAGGTCAAGCGCTTACGTAAGTGGGGAGAGAAGGCAGTAGACAAGCAGCACTCACCTCTGTCAGCTCGCATGGAAAGCAATAAGACAGGCAAGCAGCGGGCGGATCAATTATTTATCAAGCCTCCGCAACGTGAATGCTTTCTGCCCTCCCGCTGTGCCACAGTGTAGCAGACAGCTTTAAGGTGGAACTCGACGTGGGGAAAACAGTTTGCCTCCAGTTGTCGCTCACGCCCGCAGCTCATCCCCCCCTCTGGAACAGGAAGTAGAACACATTTTATAATCACCTTACGAAAGGGGACAACATTGATCTACACCTGAAATATATCTGCTTAGATTCTCAGTTATCCAAGTGGTGGCAAGTTGCAAAGGTTAAAGAAGGCCACTGTTCACTTCTTGTTTGTGGAAGACAATTCTCCTTTCATCCAAAAGGCTTCGACAGTTCTAAATTTTAAGTGTGGCGGGCATATGCCGTCTGGGTGGTCAGAAGGAGGTGGCTGCTTTGTTGTTGCCCGACATGGCTAGTGAATGAAGGTTGAGCATACCAGCTGGTTGTTCACCTGCCTGTTGACAAAATGGCTTCTTAGCGGCCATCCTACCCATGGAATAAGACAATCAACTGTCATTCCAAAACACCATTAAGAGTACAATTAAAACGTTTTTTTAAATAAACCTCTCTGTCACGTTTGCGAGGTGGTGGTGGACCCCCCCAAAAAAGCAGGCAAGAGGGAGGAGCAGGGTATGCTTGAAAAATTGTATTAAAACATCGAGAAAACTAAATCCAAAACAAACAAAGTCCAAAGTATCAAACAAAAAATCATGACTGAAGCTAAAACATAACAGTGACCGAAACATGACTGAAACAAACCTGACAGCAGCAAAGAAGCAAAGAATGACCCGACAATGAGTAGTCGGGCGGGAGTCCTTTTATACTACTAATTACATAATGACCAACAGGTGTGCAGCTGCAGGGGGAGCCCTACAGTGCCACCTGTTGGTCACAAACAGAATCATGACACTCTCAACAATAACATATATAGATTTTTAAATCATTTCAAATATACTGTTCCAAACTGTTAAGCACAACAGTGTTTCAAAACAATTTTTTAGGCTGTCACGAACTGAAAATTGTTGGTCCTAAATATATTTTTTAATATCTATTTTATATTGATTTTTTTTTTTTTTGAGGAGGGGGCTTTTTGTGTGTTTTGTTTTGTTTTTGTTGCAGGATTCATAATCCCCCCCCCAACCCTCTCTCTTTGCTCTTTGGATGTGAACTGGCTCCCACTCTGTCACTCGGGATTAGCTCCAGCTCAGTTGCAAGCAAGCAAAAATATTACCCTTATTATTGTCTGGCATATAGTCCGTAAAAAGCCAAATAGGTAAATTCTAAGTCAGTTGACGTTAAACAGTAAATTCTGTTCAGATACCCGTTTCGACTAGCTTGTTAAGATTGTGCTTTGAATAAATAATTTCTTGTTAAGGAGCCTACCGCAGTGGTGCGCTAAAAAACACCACTTTTGTCTCATGTCTTTATTTTTTCGAGCGTCTTCAAGCTTCCTCACTCCCCATCCCTCGATCACCCAGCCCTCCCGCCTTGCTCTTCCACACAATTACACACCGCTTCTCTCATCCCCGGTGGTTCTCTGCTCTGCTATCTCTCATTCTCATCTGGAGCGCACTTTCCATTGTTCACTTTCTCTTCGCCTGCGGCTACGAGCCTCCCTGTGTTCTATGCCGTCGTCTTTATTTCTCCGTGCGACTGTGCTGTTGTGGAAATTGCTTTTCGTTTCAGTACACCTTCGCCTCCCTGTCTAATCCTTTGCTGTTGATCCCCACACACGTCCATACTGGGAATCGTGGCGAGAGTGCGCACTTGGCTTTGAGCCCAATCAAGGGCTGAGGCCCCGGGCCCCAATGGGCCACACTGTCGATATCCTCCCCAGCTCTCGAGGTGATCTGGAGCCAGCAGCCCTGAGAGACGCATAAGCCTATAAGAGTGTCAAATATAAGATGGGATTCAATTAAACTTTTTGACAGCTGCTGTTTTTCTCTGTGCTACAATAGACCGTAAAGTTTGGCAACAATAGGTACCAGGATCCTTCTGGGTGGCAAATAGGTGATTGACGACTGCTGACTTGGACTAAAATGATGACATGACGAAGTGTTTCGGGAAGGATCGCTCAATATAAGCTAAAAGGTAGAGGGGTTTTTTTTTCCTGCTAGCTAAGCCAGCTAACAGTTTCAACTTCAAAGTTTTAGAGGTATGATGAGATGTGAAAAACTGAAATAAATAAGCAGCAATTCAAACAGACAGGAATGAACTTTGCTGCGCTCGATTCACATTTGTTAACACCGAAGGCGAAAGTACCCCCTGCGTAGGGAGAGAGTGGAGATATGCGGACGTCCGTACAAACATATCGCGCCCTACTTCTGTCCTATCTCTTGAAATGTTAAGGAGCTTACTGCGCATATTAAACTTTAAACTTTAGTCAAGGGGGAAAATATCTGCTCCCCAGAGTATATGTTACGTCACAAAAACAGACAACAGAGATGAATGAAACCACATCACTCATCATGAACTGCTGTACTGTATATACAATTTATCTCGCTCGTCTAAAAATTAATTTATATATATTTTTTTTCTTTAATTTCACTATCAATATTTTTTCGGGTGTGTTTCTTGAAGCAAAGTAGTGTGCCAACCATGAATGAGCAAGTCATTAACCGAGTCACGACATATTAGCACATTAGCCACGGACTCAGTGTCTCTACTTGTGTTGGTTAGCCATATTAGCATCGTGTCAATCATGTACTTTTTTTCATGGTTTCAATAAGTCTTGGTATTGTCTTGTCTTCTCAGTTGAACGCATAATTTACATGAAGCTTTGTTCTTGTTTGACTGAAGTCACAAAAAAACTAAAGCAACCCTAACGATAGAGACTCAAGAAAATGAATAGACACGCTAACATTAGCTAACTCTAGCTCTGTGCCTTAGCCTTGGTGGCTGAATTGTTTTCGTCCACCATCTCCTTTTTGCTGGGGCGCTTTGTTTTCTGATCGCCCACAACCTCTTTTCTAATCACATGGTTCTTTACGCTGTTGGTAACACCTGAAAATTAGACACAGGCAACAAAGCTTTACGCAGATGAATGCATTTATTTTGTAAAGATTTGTTTGGTTGTCATTTTGCTCCTTCTTGAGTTTATCCAAGTTTATTTTGCTCTTGTGCTCTGTTTACGAGCCCAGCTCAACACTGAGTCACACTTTTGACAGCGAAATGCTGCTGCGGCTGCATGTTGGCTAGTGTGTGTGTGTGTGTGTGTGTGTGTGTGTGTGTGTGTGTGTGTGTGTTTAATATTGGCTGTTGTCAGCAAAGTAACAGCAGTGCTCGCATCTGTTATGAGACAACTCACTGTGACATCACTGATAAACGCGTTATCAAGTGTTCCTGTCAAATGTGTGAGTGGTTGTAATCGTATTTTTTTTTTTTTGCTAGCCAGTTGTTCTTACCTGAGATGACGGATTACGACCAAACAAATATTATAGCACAGAGAGGCTTTTCATTCGCGTCAATTAACAACCCTTTGAAGCCAGAATTGCTTTCCCCTTGTTTTCAAATATACCTCATTAAATGCAACTTAATCTTCTTCTTGTCAGTGCTGCTAATGGAAGCAGGAGTGTTTGTATCATGGATTTATTAATCATGTCAGAGCATACTCCCGTCTGCAATGGTAAGTGTCTATTAAACTCTAGTTGCATCATAGCTATACTCAAGATCGTTGATTGAAACAAATCTTAAAAGCAGATTGTGAGGTGATAGCTGTATGAGCAGATTGTGAGGTGATAGCTGTATGTATATTATTAATTTATCAGTGTTCCATAGTGCTGATCCTCTCTAGGGTTGTGGTGGGTGATCATGGTCAAAAGGCAGCTCATGGTGACATGTTTATATTTTGTATTTTTTGGTTTTATTTATTTTGCACACAGACCACAAAGCACTGAAATAACATAACCAGTAAAATTGGACAAACCTGTCGAGGTGAGAGCAGATAACCTATATAGGGTTTGTAGCATGGTCTGATGACAATCCATGATGACAACACGTGGTGCCCATGGACTTCTAAAAATACCTCACCATTGGGATAATGTAATCTCCTCGGAATGTTGCAGAAGTGATCATTTTGAAAATGTAAACACATGCAGAGATATATATAAATACAAGTATATGTTTGCATTTTGATCATTATCTTTCCCACCTCCTTAAATCATTGTTCATAATTATTGTGAGTAATAATCAACAAGATCAGCATCTTCAAATAGATTAATATCATTAATTATTCGCAATACCATTTCATTAAAGACCATTTGAGCACATTTGCTATTTCAGCAGTGTTTCAAAGTAACAGCCCTTTGCCTTAATCAATATCCAAGACGTTGTTCTGACTTTCACAAAGGTTAGTGACACCTGATATCCAGAACCTAAAAAAAAAAAAAAAAAAGAACCATAATATCATGAACATTCTTGGACAGCGATCTACCTATTATAAACATAATCGCCTTGGCAGAAGTACATTTTTTTTTTAATTTAAGTAAGCGTGAGTGACACATTCGCAGTGCTACACTGCACCGACAGGATGCATCTAATTTATGTAAATATAGTCCACAGCATTGTGCAGTACTGTAGAGTGTTTGCAGCTCATGCACTAAAGAGGTTTGAAGAAGTCACTGTACATCTCAGAAAAAAAAACAAAAACTCCTTGACATAATTCTACAATGAGAAGATTGCGGAGGAGACGGAGGAGCAGGGTCAGTCACTCTGGGTGGCCCGCGGAAGGCAGCCGGTTGCCATGGCAGCACAGTAGTCAGAGCTGGTGTTGCTGGGTCCGGCTGGCAGCTGGTTGGCGAACAGCAGCAGATGGAGCAACGCAGGTTTTCCGAGAACACGCAGGCACGGCGCCTCGCCTACATGTGTCACATCCTTCCTCGTCATTACCCACGAGGCATCACGCGCACGCTTGGAAAAAAAACCCCAGGCCGCTCAGTAGGGAGTTGATGGTGCTTTATCATGCTTTTAGCCTTTTATGCGGCAGATTACAGTCAACAAAGGTCCATTGTGTCCTCCGTCCATCTGTCATTGACACCTCTTATCCTGTAAAGGGTGCGGGGGGGTTGGCAGTCATGAGGTTAAAGGCAGGGTCAATTGCAGGGCGAAAGCGTTACGCATTACGCCAAACCACCTTAGAAGACTCGCCGGGTGCTACTTAAAGATTGAGAGCAGTGTCACAAGAACTATTATCATTTTTACGTGTCATGGGGACACAACACTTTAGTAATTGTCTTAGAAAGTGGATTGCGCAACTAGTTACCGTGTAAACAAAACACTGGTTCCTGTTTGAACCAGAAGTCACTACTACAATTCAGAGCAAGCAGGGGTGTCTAACTCATTTTTGTTGCAGGCCACATTAAAGTTACCATTTCCTATGGAGGGCCGTTATGGCTGCGAAACCATATAAAGAAGTCTAGAAGACTGGTTTATTCAACTAGAGTGACTGTAATAAGGGTGTTGGTAACAAGAACATTTAGAATAGCTCTCTTATATATTACATACGAGAATTTGAAATTTTGGTCCAAATTTTAGTAAGGATCATAGAAGTCAACATGTTTGATTTGCTTTCGCAGCCCACATAAAATGGTGTGGTGGGCCAGAACTGGCCCCCGGGCCTTGAATTTGGCACCTGTGATGTAAAGGCTCATGGGGCCTTAAGGTGGATTCCCCACGGATTGAGACAAAAATCCTCAAGGAAATCAGCCCACTCAAAAATGTTGACAATTGTCTGTAGATACAACAAAATGTAGGCAAAGTGCTTTTTTTCGTTTAGACAAGGCTATGGTCAGGCTAAATTAAGCTCCTCCCCCCACCTAAAGAGTTTCTCCACCCCAATATGCTACAAGATGGCACCGAGGTAATCTTTTTCCGTTAGATATGCACAAAAACAGCTGCCAATATGGGGAAATGTATTTTGAAAATTGCTGGCAGTACAGTGCTGGCAGTAGAGTTGATTTGATGGACTGTACATGCTTTGTTGTCATTTCTGTGATAGATAACTTTACCCAAAAGACTTTTCAAAAATCGACTTCAAAATCCTAGTTTGGCTTTTTCTGAGCCAGCTGCATGTGCACACGTCGGTGCACGTGAGCATGGCATGGCGCTCTTCTCCAGTAAAAGACAAGTTGCCGAGCAGAGGAGGCAGCTGAAAGGCAAAACCGGCGGCTCACAGAACCCACGACTGTGAACTTCAGTCACTCCGCAGACCTGCTTTCACCCTGCTCAAGACAAATCTAAACTTAGCTTGGCAGAAGGAAATAGAAAACTCGCCTTACAGATTGCTTCCACACACACAAAAAAATCTCCCAAAAAACATCTCATTTCTTGGGTTGTGGCAGATCACATGAAATGATGATCACAGATTGGGGCAAAGACAGAATTTGTTGTTGGTTTTGTGTGTGTTTTTTTAAATGAAGAGTGCTGCTCATTACCGTTCCACAAATCTGACACGAGTCGACGATTGAATCATTTCTCTTTGTGCGGTTACCATGGCAACTGTAATTAAAGTCCAGCAAGATGACTCTGTTTCCAATTAGAGGGCAGGCCTGCGTGGTGCCAACTGGTTTGTGCATCTTTATTTCACGGCGCCGCACGGGTCACGGTGCACGCTGTAAAGAGTGGGCCGCAGCGAGAAGAGAGATGAGCGGCGTGAGCGAATGTGATGCGGCACGTTGCCGCTGCGAATGGAGCAAGGGCTTTCTTCATGTTGACCTCCCGCGGATGACTGCGCTGTGGGAACGTTGGTTGCTCATCGCTGTTAATTAATCAACGTTACAGAGTGAACTTGACCCCTGATGGAAAAATGGAAGCACATATAAGTGAGAGAGGTAGCTCATTTTTGGATGTTAAAATAATAAAGTAAACCGTCTGAAATGTGTTTGAGTCCAAAAGTAAAAATATGTTTTTATGAGAGCTGTCCAAATGAGTCAATTCATCGTCAGCTCATCAGTAAGCTGCTAAAATTAGTTATTTTTGGTGAAGTATAAAGAATACATGCTTATTAGTTTTGTTGTTTTCTGTCTACTTTTGTTCATTTTCCATGTTTTTGGGTTTTTTTTTTTTTTTAGCATGAAGCGAAACTGACTTTTAAAAAGGCAAAGGTGTAATTCACTTTGTTTTATGTTTAGTTTGACAGTAAACTTCAATGGGGAGGAGCAATAAACAAAAAGCCTCTTTTTTTGTACAGTATAGGAAGAAGAATTGTTCACTCTCGGCCAAACTGCTCTTTGTTCAGTCAGGATATTGTGTTCACTGCCATCATCGAGCGACTGTATTTAAAATGATTACTTGCAAGACAGAAAAACGAATGACAGCTGGTAATATGCTAAAGTAAGTCATGATAAACACTGTAAAAAAATACACCTGAATGTGACATTTATCAAATTAGAAAGAATTTCTGAACACCCGAAGCTGGTGGCTTTTAGCCTAACAAAAGACAATTATTACTATTGAAGTCTTATTATGGGTTGCCGTCATCAACTGGGGTTGAAAAGAGGAGTCAACTTATTTGGACAAAAGGAGTACAATCTTTAAAATTATAGAGCATTGCTAAAGGGATTTGGGAAAAATAATGAACGAATGAAAAAAAAATCTAAAAAAAAAAAACAATCTAATTAAGTTGAGTGACAACTGTTGGTAATTTTACTTCCCAGCACTGTTGCTCAAGCACGCAAATATACATCGCGTACCCGCTGCCTTTTTGCCACTGTTGCAATTAATATCTTGTGTATCATCCATATTGACCCCCAAATTCACAGTAAAGACCCCCCAAAGAACAAGAGGGATGAAAATGAATCAGTCCTTATTAATAATGAGGAGGCCGGATCCAAAAACAACCCTGGTCATGACAAAGATGGAGGAGGCCAAATGTTGAAAGTCTTGCCCCTGGCATCGGGCCGTAGCAGGAAGTCAAGATTTGAAATGGAAACACGCGATCATGAAGCTATTAGAAGCTTTCGCAAGACCTCCGCTCTTGCCTGGAATGTGTGCAATGCTATAACGATATTTGAACTCAATGCAGCGATTCAGTCCGAAGTAATTGGCCGTAGAAGGATGTTTTGTTTGTTGGTACAATATTGAATGCGAGCACAATTTAGTCAAAGGATTACATAATCTGCTCCACAGCAACGCCCCCCCCCTCCCAAAAAAAAAAAAAAAAATCATAATTTGACGAGGAAAATCCAACATAGAGAATACTATTACAATATAGTTCATTATTTTCACGGATGAGCTGGAGTCAATCCCAGATGACTTTGGGTTGAGAGGCTGGGTACAACCTGGCCGAGTCTTCAGTCAATCACAGGGCACAGATACATGTAGACTGTCTGCTGTTGAGCAAAAACTACTATGACTTGGAAAAACAAAAGATAATTTGTCGAGAATCTTTGCTGGAGCATTAAATTAAAAGCAAATTAATTCAATGAATGGTTAAAATTGTCCTCAAATTGAAAGGCTTGCTCCAGACACTGACTCATTTCTGCCATTTTTTTTTTTTTTTTATGGGGCCATTTTCCCGAAGGTCTGTTTTGCATCTATTTTTAGATATGATGAGTGTGGATCCTCCTCTGTCGCCTCGTTTTCAATTGGATGATTTTCCTGCAGTATTTCGATGTTTATCGCACACATGGCGGTTTAACTCATCTATCGATCTATCACAGCCACTTTTGAGGGTTTGAGGGGACATGCAGACAAAGTTACAAATTTGTCGCCTAACCTTGAATGGGAGGAGACACAGGAGAGCCGTCAAGCCGTCCGTTACCCGTGACGTGGGAAGCTCCGATAGCCAAACAAACAACAGGCAGATGGGGGTCACATTGTTGAAAGTTTTTTTTATAGCACACGTACGCTTGTCTCGAATCAAATGATTCTCTTCATTGTCCTCTGAAGACAAAACAAAACAAGTGGTTCCATCAGGTGTCTGTCAATTTGTTATGCTTGTAGTGGTGTCACAAAGTTGATGAAACATTAACATTAGCACTAGCATTTAGCATAGTGGCGCCTGATGTCGCGCACCCATTTATAGACCACTTAATTAAAATACAGTATTTTGGTTTCCCATACTAATGAATGGCTATTCTCTTTGTTAGAAGCCAGTTTTGCAATCCATGTTATTTTTGATTGGAAAATGAGCGCAAGGGGTTACTTTAATTAATGATCATGAGTCGAACAAAACGAATCGCATGCTAACCCACAGAGCGCATCGTGAAGGGATTCAAGTTGAAACAGGCTTTATCTTTGCAAATTTAAAGGCATTATCCTGACAAAGCATCAGTTGCCAAAACATGACACCGGCTTAAATTCATGTCCCGACCTCATTAGCTCAGTGACGGAAGGCTGCAAATAACAAACGTGAAGCAGTGTTACAATATTTTGTCATCCCAGTACTTACAGTATACACGATGTCGCCCTTGGGTGTATTTGTGCCTATTTGTATACCAGGCTGTCAGGGTTGCCCCCCGCCCCCCCACCCCCCTCGACTCCTAATGGCTTAATGGGCACCCCGTTGTGCCTCTCGGGCCCCCCCGGAGAGGGGCACACTCTGAGGGGAGAGGAGCACAAAGGCGCAGGCATGTCTCTTGAGAGGAGTGTCTTTGTGGGACTGAGGGCCACGGCTACGCTAACTGGGGCTAGCCTCATGGTGATTACCCTCCCAGGGGGGTCCGCTTTGTGGGCTCTGACACCCAGAACCTCACCTTTACATAGCCCCCCGCTGCGCCCCACCAGGAGGGCCAAGCGCACCCCTGTCCATCACCACTCGTTGGCACAAGAGGCCACTTCGTTGACACATAAAGTCGATACCTCTGTCTAGATGTTCTGCGTCTCAAGACAAATAGAGACGTGAGATCTATTTATCTCCTGAATATGTCCTCCTGCTTGTTTAGGACAGTGCTACCCAACCTTTAATGAGCTAATGTACACATTTAATATTTGATGATCTGACGCCACACTACAAAACAGTCACAAAAAGTGCGAACATTGAAATAATAATGCCGATCTTCAATTTACTCACAAATTGAGCTGCTCAGTGTGAAATCTGTTGAATTAAACACAAAGGTAATAGACTCGGAAACAAGTCAAGACTTATTCTGAAGTGTGAAGGGCAACAGGTGGATGCACAGGGTTTATTGTACCTTCTGCTAGCTAATGGAAGAGTCTTCCTACTGTCACTATATGTTGCTGGCATTTACAGAGGACTTACGACTCGGCTATCTGCTGCCGTTGCAGGACTATAACGCTCAGTGGAGCAGCAAAAGGCCCACCCAACAAAAGGACACAATCTTCATAAATCCACACGAGCCCGACAGTATGAAAATAAAGTCGCTGTGAATGAGGTTAGCCTCGCTAGCTTTAGCTATGCGAATCAAATGCTAGCCCTAAAGTATTCATACCAGCGGGACCGTGGAACTGGAACGAGGGCAGCGGCGCCAAGTGAAGTTCCCGTCTTCGTTGCCAAAATATTATGTCCAATAAGGGGCGGGGCAAAAGTGGGATAACAGGAAGCAAAAAAGTTGGGGCCCACTGTACTGTACGGAAAAATTATTAACGGCCTCTGCGATTAATCGACATCAACTGGACTTTCCTCACATGAGAGTCAACGACAAAAAAATCTCTAGTCATTCAACTCCTAGTAGAGAGTATGTAGATAAAGATAAAGATATAGATGAGAGAATGAAAACGAACAGCTCACGATCCAAAGTCTACTAAAGTAAAATGAAGGCGCTATACATAAAAGGCCCATCATGCCTGCAAAGGTAAATGGTGAAAAGACCGTCGAAGTCTGCCCTTCAATCACACGCAGGGTTTTTGTCAAATCCATGATGGTGATCAATAAATACACAAGTCTAAATAATCTAATCACTTCTGGAATTTACTGTCTGACAAATGGCACGATCCAACAACGCCAAGGAATGTTTTTGCGCTACGGGTTTCTCTGAAAGTCGCAAGCAATCACTTGCAACGCATCAGTCCTGATGTAAACCAAACAATAGATTGAAATGCATCGTTCCATATAGCGTGCGACCGCAGCAAGCTGTCGATGTGGTTATATCTGCTTCCCTCATCAATTTCTGTCTCTTTGTATTACTCGACACACAAACAGTAATTTTACACCCTCGGGTTCTGGCGAGGACTGCATTAGGAAGGCCTCTTTTGAAAGGACACGTTAGATTTTAACTGCTGATGATGGACGATTCATCGGCGTCTGCCCAAAGCAATCAATAGACTCTCTAAGCAGGGGATGGTGAGGCGAGATAGGTTCTCCTTAATGTGCAAATTGTTGTTTCTGGGGAAATGAAGGAAGTGAGTGTCGGGTGTGCTTTATATCTCACTGCAAATGTTGTGGAAGTCCCACCTCTGATACTACTGCAAAGGTGGAAAATTGCCTCCTATTCCGTGTCAGTGCCTTTTATACAGAACAGCAACACAGGATAAAAGGCAGAAAGATGTCTTTTTTTTTTTTTTCTACAGGCTGTGTAGTGTATATCATATATGAGGTCTTGGCCATAATCCTTTGGGGGCAAAACCTCGAAACTAATCTGGTTTCTATTCACTGGTATGGAAAATTGAGAACTTTGATTCCGTTTCCTCACAAAAGTAGTACAATCCAGAAGCCCTGCGGGTATAATCCAAAACTGTTTATACCGTTATGAAAAATTCCTAACCTCGCTTATTTGACCTGAGGCATATTTTACTGTGTATCATCGCCCATGTGACGTAAGCATCACTCGTATTCTGTGCCACCTTATTGAAGAACAAATCACCATGGTGGTGCATTATTCAAGTCTCGGAATCGCCACTCTGAGGCCAAGCAATTTTGAGCTTCCAAGGTGAGCAGCTTGCAGCTGGAAAATTGCAATGTACTATTTATGACACGTTCATTACAACTTTGAGGTCCTTCATCCTTTTTTTTTTTTTTTTTTTTTTTAAATAACACCCGACCCAACCTGCTACTGTAGCACAGGTTGCAAGTGGTTAAGCCTTTTTTTTGACACGTATACAAATGTGGGGAAAATGTGTTACGATCGGATGAAACCAAGGCTGAACTTTTCGGACGTCATTTCAAAAGATACGTTTGGCACATACACAAGGCAAGGCAGCTTGTACATGATAAAAAGTACATTTTAAAAGAACATTTAAAAACAAGGTCAAGAAGTAAGAATGGTTCCAAAATTACAAAGAGAGAAAAAAAAAAGGAAAATTATTTTTAAATGCTTTAAAAGAGCTCAATTATAAGCAACAAGGCGACTCTTTACCAAAACAACTCGATATTGTAGCTACGTTGACACAAAGTGGTGGGAAATATGAACAGTTCAAAATAGCAGTCAGTGTGAACATAAAACCCTCTGGCTCCTGCAAAATAGCAAAAAAAAAGAATACAGAGACAGCCTACTAGAACAGCTGAACTTTATTTGGTCACTATAAATAGTGGCTGGTGTGTGATAACTCCCATTTTACATGAGTTTGAATGTGATTGCTGAATTCGGAACACCGCCCAATCCCAGAGTTAACAGGGTGTGCACACATATGCAATCACATTAATTTTTTCTTCACCCCAAAAAAAGATTTCATATTTCCTATTTTTTTTTTTCCAATTGAGTTGGACAGGTTGTACATTAATGGTGGAAAAGTTCTGAACGCATTTACCTTGGTCTTATTGAGCAGGGGGTGTGTAGACTTTTGCTTTCCACTAAGAGGTTCCCTCAGCTGTTTTGTAAGCAAAGCAAGGCCGAGAAATTCTCATGTATTCCAATATACGTCATTGGTTGCCAGTGTAATTTGAGTACAGTATCGCTGTTTGACCCTAGTGGAGATGTTGCAAAATTACACTTGCATCGAACCTTTTAAGCCTCTGGTTCTCAAATTGGGATCCTCAGACCCACCGGGGGTCTGCTAGCTGTCATTTTGTCATGTGTGAAAAATAATTTCCAATTAATTATAGTAATAGTAATCGGCAAACATCCCACTGTTTCGTGAGTGAATCCAGCTCTGAAACTGTGATTCAGGCAGTTCATAATGAAACGTTTGATGCATATGAAGAAGACCAGAAAGAAGGAGGAAATGGAATTGTTCAGGCCAGTCTTTTGTTAATGGACTACTACAGCTCTTATAGCAGCTTTTATGGCTCCGGTATTCCTTTACAGTGGATGTAGATGCTGATGAGCGAAGGAAATGGATGAAAAAGGCGCAGAGGGTTGGAAAGGCAATAACCACATTGGTTCAAAGTTGTTTTGACAATCTCCTTGCAGTGCTGTCCTACTCGACCGATTGCATTTTACATCACGTCTCACCTCGGACGCAGGCAGAGAGAACTTCTTCTCGGGACCAATCAGAGCGGCGGTGATGATTTGATGCAAAACAAAGACGCCATCAACAACACATTCACAGTATGTCAATCTGGCTGAATAATTGGGGAGGAGTTGAAATAAATACCGGATCTATTCAAACCCCGAAGACTCAGGGAACAGGAACAGTGACACACACACACACACACACACACACACACACACACACACACACACACACACACAAATGAGAGAGAGGAAAAAGAGGAGGCGATGGTTGTCACATTACCGCCCCTCTGTGTGCAAAGCTGCATGACAGCGGGGCCATCTTGAGGGGATTGAGCAGATTTAATTAAATTCGATTACCGTATTTTCTAGTGATGTGTCGTTCGCGAACGAGCCGGCTCTTAGAGCCGGCTCTTTGAAGTGAACGACATGAGCCGGCTCCTAAGAGGGAGCCGCTTTAATGGGAGCCGACTTTTTTTTTTCCTCCTGTTTTTTCCCCCTTTCGGTTAAAGCCGCACGTGATTGGTCAAGATCCGTGGTAGAAGAGGGAGGAGAGGGTTACACACGCACGCACACGCACACGCACACGCACACACACACACACACACGCACACGCAGACACAGACACGCGTGCGCGCTTCAGTGAAGAGAAGGGGGAGGAGTCAGAGAAACAGCAGCACACCGTGAGCAGCACACGAACAGGAGAGACAGGGAGACGAGAGAGAGCTCGATAGCGCTACAGTACAGAGAAAAAAACTACACGGTGGAAAGTGGAAAGGTGAGAAAATGGATAGGCAACGCAATGAAATTTGGACTGATTTCAACTGAATTGATAGTTCAAAGGCAGCGTGTAGACTGTGCAAGGTTAAAATATCCAATATCAAATTTTAATTGATAATTTGTTGTGTGGTAATCAAAGCTTACTTATGTTGTTTTACTGTAAATATTTAAACACTTATAAATATGCACAATCAGAGAATGGAGCTTTTTGTTGACCTTGTTTTGAGATAGGTCTTTATTTTTGGATTTTGTAATTTATTTTTTTGTAGCACTCCATGTTGTACGCCATGTTGAGTATGTTCAGAAGAATATAAAGCCATATAAATAATAAATATTTGATATACTGTATAGTTTTTACATTCGTAATTCATTTTACACATAATTTTACATTATTTTTGGGAGTAAACTAATTATACAGTGCGTTTTGTCTATGTGTAAAATACCAAAATAGCACCCGTTAGTGAGACTGCGCCCAACAATACGGTGCGCCGAATGGTTGTGAAAATACGGTAACTCAACTACCTTGCTTAATGACGCTGTGGACGCAACTTCCCACCATAATAATAATAATAATAATAATAATAATATCGGTCAATGATAAAAATAATAATAATTATTATTATTATTATGGAGAAAGCAATTTTCAGAGAAAATGTGTGTGAAAATGTATATAAATAATGGAAACAGGACATTTTCAGGGGAAATGTGAATTTTTTAAATAAAGTCGTAACGTGGCAGTTTGCAATAAAGACAGAAAGTGTCGAAATGTAATTCGTGTTGTGTTAAGGTGGGGAAGGCTGCGGCGAAGATGGGAACGACGGGTCGGCGGCTGCAGTCAGACACCGGCGCGCTTACGTAAGGCCAGTTCAAGAAGCCGCTGCTCTTATGATTAATGCATGTCAGCCAGGACAACATGGACAGGATCTGTGGAGCCACAGAGGGAGGATCGGGCGGCAGACAGGATGGAGGCCAATGTGTTGCGAGGCTCACTTCATGGTGGACGTCAAGCACAACTAGCCATGATCTTTTCACGAATCACACAGTGTCGTTGTAGTACTCACCTCACTTTTATCCATCCATCCATTTTCTAATCTGCTTACCCTCACAAGGGCTGCGGGCGTGCTGGAGTCTCTTTCAGCCGTCTTCGGACAGTAGGCGGGGCACATCCTGAACTGGTTGCCAGCCAATCGCAGGGCACACAGACAAAACAACCATCCGGCCTCACACATTTTAGACTTAGAGTGTTCCATTAACCTGCCATGCATGTTTTTGAAATGTGGGAGGAAACCGGAATACCCGGAGAAAACACACGCAGGGACGGGGAGAACAGGCAAACTCCACACAGGAAGGCCAGAGTTGGAATCAAACCCTGCACCTCTGCACTGTGAGGCCGACACGCTAACCAGTCCACCACCGTGCTGCCCACATCATTTTTTAATTGTATTAAATTTAACTTTAAGTTAATGTACTGTAGCTCTGACAATAAGCTTCTTTGGAGTGAGTATAAGTCGGATTTTAGGGGTGAAATTTATTTCACAAAAACCAAGACCAAGAACTGTGGAGCCCTGTTGTCTCATCGTGGGTGTGTTTGGAAATATTCTCCAGCGTGCACTGTTTCACTTCCACCGTTGGCAAATTTGCCATTCAGTTATTCAGAGTGTCACAAAAAAAAAAAGAGCACCAAAGTCCAATGCATCAGGCAGTACGAATGGAAACAGTTCAAGCACAAGTCGCTGATTGTTTTAAAATACACGTGTTCGTAAATTAATGGGAGAGGGGTGCGCTCTGTCTCTCTGAACACAAATACTCTCATAGTGGTGTCAGGGCATCAGAGTAAATTTCAACAAAATCCAACAAGTTCTGGTTGGATGACACTTCCACTTTTAACTATGGAAAATGTTTTCTTTTCATTTTAAAATGGCTTCCCTTAAGTAGAATCCCTCATCACATTGTGGTCAAATCCTGATTGGTTATTGCATCTTTTTGTGCTGCAAATCCTTGATGGGCCGGAAGAAAGCCACATGCTAAACTAGCATTACGCCACATATCCGGCACCATACATACTGCTTCTTCTTCCACTTCCATATCGTCTTGAACTTTCTTTTGGAGGTTGATGACTCATAAGGTGAATTCCAATCGGTGACCAGAAGGTGGCAGTACTGTACCAAAGGAAAGACAAAATGAATAAGGAACACATACAGATTTTGGGTTAGTCCAAGCTCTAAATTTAACATATTTAAGTTCATGGATCTGCCAAACTATGAAAAAAGAGTGCAATTTATAGTCCCAAAAAATACAATAATTCAGTTTAAACTGATCCAGTATAAATGAATTTGCACTGTTTTTGTCAATTTTATTTAATTTCATTTTAATGTGTTGGGTTTCTTTTTTTCGTTTTCATTTTTCTTTTTCTTTCATTTGTGTTTTTCTTGTATTTACAGCAACATGTAAAATGATCACTTCCATACAATATGTATGACTATATTCTATAACAATGTGAAGCCCTTTGAGTCCTCTCTGAAAAGGAAAAAGAAACCGAAATAAAATGCAATTATTTAGGAACCATTGGTGTTTCTACAAAAAGAATAATCCAAATAGTCATTATCAAGCTAATCGCAACAGTAACAATTGTAATACCAACACAATTTTTTTTTGTTAAATAAATTACATTGAATTGGTGTATGACTGTTATAGTTCAAGTGATAATTTTTGAAGTTACTGTCATGCAAAAAAAAAAAAAAATTAAAAAAAATCTGGTGTTACGATTTTAATTTGCTGAGTATTTATAGTAGTTAAATTGAACTGTCGGAGGAGCCCATCATCGGTTTTAAACATTGGGTCATCTTACAGCAAAAAAAAAAAAAAAAAGGAAAAATACTTGTCATTTTATGGATGATGATTGATGGTTGTTGCTGTGTCTTCCTTTAAAGTGAGGCAACCAGGAGACAGTCGCAGAGGTCCACGACAGGGTCGTCTGC